AAGCGACTTCAAGAAGACGAGGCAAGATACTTGGCATATAGATGTTAAGGTACGTGCTGCGAACAGACGTCCATCCACACCGAACTGACTATTGGTAGGCATTCAAACCAGAACAAGTTGAAGACCTCTCCGGGGTGTTGTGGAAGAGCTATTTCGCCTAGCTTTTGCACTGACCTTTAGAATGAATTTGCGAAACCTCGTAACTCCTCTTTTCGAACAATTAGACGACCCAGGCGTTTTTCTAGGCTGCTCTCTTGATAAAAGCGTGGCGGTCATACCCGAGATTAAGAAATTCGTATAACTATATCTACACACGTCAATCTCTCCACCCTACGTTTTCGTGAGACATGTTGTGATCTACGATTGATAATACTTACGCAATGTTATTCGGCCCATCAGCAGTCGGAATTGGGATGAGGGTGAGAATGCCGAGCGTAAACTGTTCAGATATAGTGGGTTTGACATTTCCAGCAAGAAGTCGATTCATCATTTTTGTCTTGTCTTTTGCTTCGGCATCCTCGACCACCAGTGATTTCGCATTTTCTTCGTGGCTTTTCCATGGCTTGACCATAAGCTCTTTCTCTGTAACTCTAGCTTAACTGAGCGAAGTCGATATAGTCGGTTATACGTATACGTATTGGATTCTAACAAATTGAGATGCTCCCATATCTCCTTTGTTGATTGCGGCTGGTCCATATTCAATGTGGCCAATCGGCCCCTCAGATCCTGCAGAGATTCCCCGAAGTTGAATGATCGATGTAATGCTGCCGACGCTCCGGACGAGTTTGCCCACTCCTACATTAATCTGTGAACAAAGGTTAGTTGCAGTGACGGCCTCTAGCCAACTCCTTTTTGGCCTGTCGCTTTTATTTAGCCTTGAGGGGTGGGGGACCGATCATGGACTTCTTTTTCGGATCGAATAGACTCGATATCTGAAGCCCCTCTGTGTGACGAATTCATCGCCGGGATGTCCGTCCTGGTACTCGTGAGACCTGATTTTGATCCATGTTCACGCTAGGATTAACATGTCTTTGCTAGGAAGAGCCTATCCCATCGGAACGCGTCGGGCGTTTAGGGGAATAAATTGACCGTGTCTTCTGGCTCAAAAAATCACGGGCACCGCGAATTAGAAGCGAGGGCATTATCACCTTGGCTAACAAGGCCTTCTGTAGACCTCTCTCTGAGCCAATCTCCTGTGTTCCATTCGACTTCAACGAGTAGTTGCCAAAAATACTAAACCTTACCCGTGACCAGAAGTTCAATCAACTGGGCATGGTAGTGACTGACCTCTAGATCCGCCGTTCCGAGCCCGACATGTCACATCCGGAACAGTATACAGTATCACCGTGGGATGTTGGGTACGGCGTCAACGTTCGACGTGGCGAAAGAAAGGGAATGGCGGCTAGGCAACTGTGGCCTTCAAACAATGCTGATGGGCCCCCGCCTGCTGCTTCAAATACAATCCTCTGACAAACGTGACCCAAAAAGAATCTCGTCATCGCACCCTATAATACGTGACGGATTCCTTGTCCCCACGGTCCGCCAAAGCGGTCCTGATGACGAAAATGGTTGCTCGGCGATCACATCATATCTACCCTGCTTCTTTAGTTCCAGTTCATGGCCGCTTAAGGGGCTTACTAGAAATCACGGTAGGAGCTGGAGAAAAGAGGGAAGGTGTACGAACAAGAGAGCTGTCTGGTCCTGAGGAGAAAAGGTGGGAGCTGCGTTATGATGCGGCAGGTCTAGTGGCTGATTTGTCAACGGAGCACAAGTCCACGGGCTCGAAGATTTCAATCTGGCCGAAAACGGCGTCATAGGATGTATGCCATAGCTGCCATCATGTTCAACAGAGAGGTTTCAGGGCACAGATAGGACTTCCCCCCGCGGTGCCGATAACGAGGACCCCTTTACGCGAGGCATCAGAACCTCCCGAGTGCCGCCAAGAGAAACTCCAAGAACAACTAACTCGCATGAGAGGAGAGTACTGAATCTCTATGGACACCTCCATGGATCTTTGTCCTGTGTGTGATGTGGCTCAAGCCCAAACGAAAGGTGGGCTGACTAAATTTCTAGCGTATAACACGAAACCACATAGCCCTACCAAAGGATTGGGAATCGGACAGGAGAACCATTATTCTCAACAGCAAGATTCCTCTCCTGCTTCTGCCACAGGAACGGGCGGTTGCTTAAGGTAGACCTCAAGTTTTTGGCGAACAAAATGCTTTCACGGATTGAAGAAAGGAAAGAGTATTATTCAAAGACCGAGAGTCGACTAACTTGCTCCGATCTGATATGAAAGCGGAATAGATTGGAGAAGAACACGGCCGACCTTAAGTGCAAACTGGACTCCGACGAACAATTTCGAGGGGCAGAGGCAAGGTCGGTGGTTGACATCTCTGTTGAGATAGGGTGGGATTTTGCCGAGCTCGCAGCCCTGGTATTACCTAGGTGATCGATTAGGACCAGGGAGACGTTAATCCGCGGCCAGCTGGACGTCCTCGCTTGAACACCCCGAGTTCACCCGGTGTTTGTGCTGCCTTCATTGTTGGCCCAACTAGACGATACCTTTGGTTGGTGGAGCGGCGGCAATATTCTCCTGCCGCTCAGACATCGGCAGGCAAGTATGAATGCCTTTTGACAGCGCCGTATCACTCAGCTGATCCCTGGTCAAGAATTCTGTTGGCAGCGAGTCAGGCTTTCCTGGTCTCCGTTAGTGTAATCACACAATCTTGAGACCGGTATTGACGCACTACGGCTCATACCCAATCTCTAGAAGTGGCGGATCTTAGCAACGCAAGTCTTCGCTTTTCCTCAAACTTATCCCCTGTTGATACGTCGATGTCGCGGGGGTTTTTGTCAGGAAACCGATAGCCGGTAATATCTTGTGCCTTTTCAAGGTCGAGTTCAATAGGCGCGCCATATCCACGAGATACAAATTGGAAGCACGGTGGCAATGAACGAACTTTTGGTCGACACACGAAAAGCGCAGCCAGGCTCTAAAAGGGCGATGATTCTGCGCGGCGATTTTGACGGAAATTTTGTGCATAGGTGTCAGAAAGCACGAACCATCGCGAGATGGGGCGGCATGCCTGGGAGCAGAACCGTCCGCGTGCCTCTGCCTAGTTAGTTGTAGGAGGCCAGAGAGGAAACGTCGGCGATTTTCGCCTAACCGTCCTGTTCGCTGACTTGAAGAGAGGAAGGGCAATGGTCATGAGATACTTCTGGGACGGAATAATTCGAGGTAATTGTGATTTAGGGACACTTCACCCAGGGGGAGGGATAACATATCCATAGTATATCGCCCAGTTCGCTTGACCGTGTGTAGCTCTATAACAGCATGATCACGGCCGAGAATCATCGCCTCGATAGAGGCTACGGAGGTCAAGCTTGAACTTGGGCGTAGGCTTAACGTTAAGCTTGAGCATACTGAGGGCGGAAATTTCCC